AAACTCAATGTCTTTTTCTTCTAATTAATCATATATGAAAGATAATCTATTCTAAAAATATTCAGTATCAATAAAATTTTCTGAAAGTATTTCATTATCAACAATATAAATCTCCTTAATTAATGTCATTGATTAAAACATTTAAGAGTTTAAAAAGAAATTTTAATTATCAAATCTATCCTTCATTTCAGACAATTTTATAATGGCTATAATATTAATTATTATTAATTATAACACTAAGACTGGTTATAGCATTAAATATTAGCCAGTTAGAACATACTATATAAAAATTGTAATTAGTACTTTCAATGTTTATTAGATTTTAGAGTTCAATAATGATCTTTAGTGTTTTGTTGACTTGTTATTAGTCTTACTTGTTTCAGTATCTGATTGATGAAATATCTAATGATTAATTGAATTAGATAAAGGTTCTAATAGATAGATTAAAAATTTTACTTAAAGGCAAATTCTTAGTTTCAAAACAATGAATGAACTAATATCTCAAACCACTATAATACTAATTAACTTTAGATACAGTATCTTTTTCAATTTCAAATATCTATTATTAAACAAACTAAATTAATAAAAGTATTTTTACATTTTATTTATTTATTAATTTAAACACAATTAAAATATTTATTATTACAATTATAATACTAAATACAGTATGATAAGTAATTGTTATTATTCTGAAAAAGTATTATTAAACTTAAAGTAATTCTAAGTTTTTTGTAATTTCTAAAATTATTTATGATAAAGATTCAATTAAATATGGATACACAATTTCTCTAAATTGATTTAATTATTTCAAACTTGAATTAGTTTCTGTAAATTATTCTTATTAGAATAATATTAAATTAACAATATATGAATTATAGATGTCAATTATTGATTAGTTATTACTTTAATGAATATCTATATTATAAAAGCAATGAATATAACTTTAAGATTAATAAGTATTTTTTATTAAATTTAATTATTCTTTTACAACTAATTTATAATGATCATAAAATTGATCATTATTCACATTAATAAATTCTAAATTTAAATCTTTTATCTAATTATTATTAAATAATGACACATCTATAAATGCATTATAGACTTTTAATATAGATAATTATATAGTGAAAAAAAGGTTTAATTGGGATATATTTTAATCAAATAATAACTTAGAATTTTCTGAATCTGCAAATATACATATCATTATATAAGATAATAGAATCTGTAATAAAAGAAGTCTACTATATAATTTGAATTAAACAAATTCATTCAAACTAACTACAGAACATTTATTTTAATCATCTTTTAAGAAAATATTCTCTTCAACATTAAGACTCAAATTTATTTATTAATTTTAATTATAAAAGTCTCCAGTTATTTATTCATAAGTTATCAATGATTTACTTTAATTAATTCTAAATGATTCATCTATATATTAACTGTATGATTAATTCAATTACATTTATATTTAATTCATAGTATTTACATTATTTTATACTTATTTTATTGATGCTCTTTATTTTAAGGCTAATGAATTCTAAATTATATTAAATGTTTAATTTACATAGATATTTGATCTAAAATTATCTTCATAGATTTCAAATCTATTAAACTTTATTACAACATTTTTGTCCATTAATGTTCTCCTACTAAATTTAATTGATCCATCAACTTTAATTATTTTATTTAGATTTCTTTTACGATAGCAATATTTTATATACAGTTTTTCTAAGTAATAACTTAAGTTTTACTTAGAATTTGATATTGAGATTGATGATATTCTTCCTATAAACTGTAAATTCTTTTTAATAATTCAGGTTAATTAATTTTTAATTAACCGAACTTATCTTTTACAATTAAATGTCTTTATAAATTTAAATACATCATTGATTTTTTCAATTAAAAATCTGATAAAATTTCTAATTTTGATTTATGATATTCTTCTACTAAATCCTCAATATTCTTAGGAATTCTTAATAAAATTTATGTATGTTCTACATTTACAATTTTCTAAAAATTAGAATGTTCAATTCTAATTAATTCATCATCAATAATTTATAAATTAGAAGTAAATTAACCTTGATCTGCTGTTTTATTGAAGTAATCTTTAAATTCAAAATAATTTTAACTATTTAATACACAAATATCTTCTAATTCTTCCTTTATTTTTTCTCTCTCTTTCTATTTTAATGATTCTTCATCTTTTTATTAAGGTACATTTTTAAATGATAAATTAAAAATAGACAAATCCTCTTCATTTATATATCTTTGATATTTAGTAAAATTTAATAATTATGGACAAATTATAAAAACACAAATTTTTGGCAATAATAATGGCATTAATTATAAAGTCATTGAATCTATTTCCCAATCTTCATTTAATATTAAATAATTTTATTATTATAATCTTATTAAAGGTCTTATCATACAAATAAATTCTAATTAATTAAATCTATTGCATTCAAGTTTTAAATATTTATTAGCAGGTATAATATAATTTTATTAATGCTAAAAATAAACTTTTTTTCTTTTATATAAAGTATTACTTCTACTTTGAGACTTAAATATTAATAATTATATTTAATGATTACGAATCATAGATTAGGGGATAAGTTAATAAACATTATTCAAAGTATAATAACCTGTCAATTCTTAACAGGATTAACTTTATTTTAAAATATTTCCATTAAGATCAGTATGTAAAATTATTGAAGATTTATTGAATGATTTATCTTTAGAATATTTATTAAATACATATTTATCATCATCTGATTCTGAATCTTCATAAACAAATTCTTCATAAGAAGTACTCTCAAAAAATTAATTTGATTTGACTTTTTAATTTAATATATGTATACAATACCAGGAATAATATAATTGCCATTTTATTCTTCTATCTAAATAAGATATTTTTATTATTTTATCTCTAATTCTAGTTTCACTATTAATAATTAAATCCCATAAAGAATTACATTAAGATATATTATTATTAATTAGATCATCATATTGAATTAATATATCTTAATTAATTTGATTTCTTAAAAGATGTTTCCAGAATTAAATTTTTAAATTTAAAATATCTTAAATATAAACTTTAATCTATTAAACAGTACTCTCCATTTCTAAAGTTCTTTCAAAATCTAATTATCCATTATATGATGATGTATTCTAATCTTGTATCATAATTTTTATTTAATAAATTATTAAACGTAATCTAAATTTTTATAAATAATTTATTTTGTATTAGTTCTTTAATAAGTTATTAATTTAAGAAATAGCTAAAGATTTAAGATTCATATTGAATACTAGAAATCTAATATATAAAATATGTATTTCAATATCATTTGATTAAGAAATCAAATATTATTCATATAGACTCTTAATTTCTAATTTAGTATAAAGTTTCTTATGTTTCTTAACAGAATGTAATGATTTTGTAACATCATTATCTTTTTTGGCATTGTATATAACTTTCTATTGACAATAACATCTCATTCCAATATTTTTCCAATCACTATGATTATGAGATCTGTTCAAATGATGAACTATTACTCCAAAATAAAAGAGTTCCTTTATTTCATTCATATCATTTATCAATTCTTATAAAAAAAAGACTTTTCTCACTAAATCTCTTGTATCATGACTATTTTTGATTATCAAATTTGATAATTTAGTTAAGACAACCTTTTTGTAAGTTAAAATGAAAAAGGCTTATACAATTAAAGTTATAATAAGTGTGTATTCTTGATTACTTAAATTCATAAAATATGCTAAGTAAGTATATATCATAGATATTGTAATACTTACATATAAAAGTGATGTTAAAACATAAAGTCTTTAAATCTTAGCTTAAAATAAAATAAGAAATAAATCACCAGAATATAATTATTACAAAGTCAATAGACTGAAAAAAACCTATGCAATAAAGAATATAACCTAAATTCAATAATTATATTAGTACATTATTATTAACAAACTGGAATTTAATATTATACACTATTCCCATTATTATATGTTATAATCTAAAGTAAGTTAAAGAATCATTATTATTAAAACTTAAGAAATCCAATTTAAGTTTATAATTGTAGAACAATGTTTATTGGAATATTATTATGATAAAATTAAGTATAAATCCTAATATTGAACAGATTTCTAATATTATTATAAAATAGGAATTGAGGTTAATAGATATCTATAATTTTTAATCTATCTATTCAAAATTGAACAGATATGTAGACTATATATAAACTATAGGAAATATTAAAATCCATTAATAAGCTTCTTGAATATGTACAAATATCTAATTAGTTTAGTAAATTTACTTATGCTAATTTCATTAGGAATGTAGTGCGATCACCTTTAGTTTAAATCTAGAACCACAATATTAAAAATAAAATAATGATCAAAATTGGTATAGATATGCTTAATATAAGTAGAATGATGTAACTCTATAATGATTGTGTAATCAATTCTTCAATGCTTAAAAAAATGAATGGAGTTAATAATCTTTCTACGACATCTGTATGTAAATCCTCAAAATACTCAAATGTTGCTTCAACCCTATAAATTTGAACTTTTAAATTACTTAAATAGCAAATTGAAATAAAATAGCAATGACCCTATGCATATAAAAGAAAAAGCTTTAGTATAAGAGGCTTTCTTTATTTTTAGCAAATAATGAATTGTTATCAAAAAATTATCGAAATTCATATATATTTATATTAATTAGACTTAAGAAAATAAAAATAGAGAAGAATAATGATGACTTAAACTTAAAAAAAAATATAATAATAATTTGAATATAAAATTATAATTAATTATGAACCCTCACTTTATTTTGTTTAATAAGTTTTAGCACCAGTTTATCAAAACACCAACATCTACTGTACTATCATTAATTCTCAATTGCAGTATTATTCAATTCATTCATATTGGAATGTAAAACAGATAAATTCATTAGACATACTCGCAACATTCCAAGTAGTTAATGGAATCAAGAAATGATCAAATACATAGACATAATAGAATTGACAAAATCCAATTAAATCATCAATTTAGGAATATTTATTATAACATCCATAATCCCTATTCTCATATTATTTTTATATTTTGTGCTTTATTTTAATTATAATCGTCACCCTAGACGTAGATAAGAAGAAAATACATTAGAAAAGGTAATATAATAATTAAATAACTTAGTTGTTTATTAGGTTGCTTACAATATAAGAATGGATATTTTTTTATCCAACAATCTAAATTCACACTTTAATAATCTCTTGTAAATATTTTGATGAATCTAATTTTAAATATTTATGCAGCTTTTCTTCATTTGATGATTTTGCAATTATTGTTTTATCTACAACAATCTTAATTGTAACAATCATTATTTAATTTATGATAATTGCATTTATAAGAAATGACAAGTTCTAAAAAAATGATTATTCCTCATTATACTTTAAGAATGGATAAATATATGTAATTATAAATTAATTGCTGTAAAATTTCTTTGCTTGTTTATATGAACCTAACAATTCTTTAGAATATGTAATTTGTAATTATTAATTATTATAGCTAAGTTTGTTAATTTTTCATAGTGTATTTCACTTAGTAATATGGATAATAGCAATTAAAAAATGGCCAACATTTAATTAAGTATTTATATAGTACTGGTTCATTTTAATTATTAATATCAATATTTCCTTATATCTTTCATTTATTTTAGAAACTATTTTTGAATAAAGTAATTCAAAAGAATATGGATTATATCATTTTCTATGGATCTTAATAATGTTATTTTTTACTTAATTAAAAATATCCTAAGTTCTTATGAGATCCCGTTTATTTTAGAACATAAACAGTGAATAAACTTTACTGACTAAAATTTATTCATTTGAATAAATGATTTCAACAAGGGACAAATACTCCAATATTTTATTAGTCTTGGGAATTATTAGATCACATTAAAATTCTAATTGCAAGAATAATTTAATTAAATAAGATCTTAAAAGATGTTATTGTACAATGAAAATGATTTATGATCCCAAAAAATAAAATGATATTAGAAATCTATCTTCATCAATTATTAAACATATTAATATCTTTTCAAAATTTGTAATTAAATCTTGGTATGAAGAATATATAAATGAACATTAAAGTAATTATTATATTAGATTATAATATTCATAATATTTATTTTATAAAATAGATTTATATGCCTAATCATTAATAGAATTAAATAAAATGAATACATAATTAAAGTCTTTTAGTGATAAATTATAATTTTGTAATTTGTCTGTAAAAATTAAACAAAAAATAGACATATTATGTACATAAAGTTATAAATAAAAATTTGATTTTGAAGTTGTAGTGGCAATAGAAGAATGTATAAAAAGGATATAGAAATCATTAATATATATTATGGACATGCAAATAAAAATGTTTAAATAAATAATTAAATATCATGATATTAATGAATAATTATTGATATAAGATTTTAATTAAATGTTGAATAAAATTTAAGAAATAAAAACTAATTGGAAAGATATAACTAGAAGACAAATGATATAGAATGATAAAGTAGAATTTATATCCTTTTTACATAGAAAAAAAGAATTTGTGATACTTTATAATTGGTTTAGGTAGAATATATTAAAGAAGAAAGTTAAACAATCTATATAAGTTGGAGAGAATGATGAATTTATATAAGAAGAATCAGATTCAAATAGTGAGAATGATCACTTTTATGATCAATAAAAAATATTTAATTTATTATCTGGAATACTTCATTGTAATACAAATGGGGAAATTTTAAAGTTTAGTTAGAATTGTCAAAATTTATATGGATAGCTATAATTAAATTCTATATTTGAATTGATTCCTCATTCAATGAAAAGGAATCATCAATTAGCTATGAGATAATTTATAGAGAATGGAAAGAGAGGTAGTTTATTTAAAAAATTAAAGATATTTTATATTAATGAAACATCAAATATAGTTTAAGCTAATAAATATTTAAAATGTATTCTAAATTAAAAAATGTCAATTGAATATGTATGTATGATTAGACCAATAATTAAAATGGCTCCTAGTAATTTTATATTATTGAATGAAAATTGGGAAATTGATTCTACAACAATATAATTAGACTAATTATTCTAAAAATAAAGTTGTTTATTAATTTAATGTCCTAAATTATTAAAATATTCTCATTATTCAGTATTAATGAGGGATAATGATTATGATTTCTTTTAATTAAGAATATCAAAAACATAAACATAATATATTTAAGAATTAACTTAATATATGTAAAGTTAATAAAATATAAACACAGATTCACATTAAACAAGAAGATTTTTTAATAGAAGAGGAGATAATTTTAAATATTTATTAGATTAAGCACTTGTAGATGAAAATATAAATAATGGATTTGAAATAAGTAAGAATAATATGAAATTTCATAAAATAATAGATGAAAATAATATCACATTACATATAAGAATACCATTAGATGAAAAATAATTAATTGAAGATTATTCTGAATTTAAGACATCTCTCAATTAAAATAGTGATTAATTAACAAAATCTATGAGAATATAGAGATTAAGTAAGATATTAATTAGAAATTAATATGGATTATTGAGATTTAATAAATTTGAATTATTGAGAAGAATATTAAAATATAGATTATTGTCTTAAAAGAAATATTATTAATAAATAAGTACAATTTCATATTATAAAGAAAAGCTTTTTGAAAAATACTGTTCCAATACAAATAATCTAAATAAAGTACTTAAAATTGAAGGTTCTATTCATTTTACTACCAAATCATCATTTGATAAAACTATTATTATTAAAGTTAATAGATTTGAATTTTATGAGTAGGAAGCAAAGAAATATACTGTAATATATATTATTTATTATTTAGAGTTCAAGTTAATCTGAAAGAAAGAGAACTACATCTTCATAATCTACTTAATTTATTTTAAGAAGGAATTCTGATATATATTTTTAAAACTTCTTTTAAAATCAATCTATTAATTTTTAGACTTTACCTTAAGAAAATGATTAAGATTCAATAAGAGATAATATTACTAAAACATTAATTACTGAAAATGAATTGTAAATTGATTTTTCAAACTAAAAAGCTATTTCAGATGAAGGATTCTCTAAACAACATTGGTTAATTAAAAATGAGTTTATTAAGGATGATTTAAATAAGATTCCAAAAATGTTAGAAGAATTAACTTATATAAAATTATTGAATCGTTTTTTATTAATTAGTTTACTAATTTTAATAATTACAGAATTTGTTTTTGGACCTTAACTTTATATAAGTTCAATTATTGAGAATTAAATTAATAAGGTCGAATTAGTTACATCATATGTTTAAATCATATCTTAAACTTATAATTCAATTATTGATTTAGATCTATCTTAAAAAGATATTTATATTGCTAATCTTATACAAATTAATTAAATTGCATAAAGTTCTGTCTCATAACTTAATTAATTGACTCTAGAAACTTAAGATTTCATATCAATTTTCAATTAAAATACTGATTTTAATGAAGAAATCTCCACTCTTGATTTAATGGGAACTTTTAGAGCAAATATTAATTAATTTTTACAAGTAGTATAAAATATTGATTCAAATACTTTAAATGATACAATCTCTTTTTATAGAAGTAATTTAATACCTTACTTTTATGTGACATTGAATAAATCAATGGAAAATATTAATTAAGCATTACTAATTAATTTATAATATATTAAAGGTATTTTCTAGGCTTTCCTACTCTTTATTTCCTTATTTAATGGAACTATTATTTTTTCAAATATAATGTTTCTGTTCTAAATGATCAAAAAAATTAAAGTAATAAAGTTAATATATTATTATTTAAGTTATTACTAAGTTCATTTTAATTGATAAACAAATAACAATTTGTTTAAATATATAAGTATTAGTTATCTTTGAGATAATAATTAAAAATCTTAAAAATAAGTAATCTAAATGGTAATATTGATTAAAATAACTTAGCCTCATAAAGACATATAGAAAATCTAATACAAAGAGAGAATTAAGAAGTTGAACATGCTAAAGATACTTCTATTAATAAATATACAGAATCTTAACATTGGATTAGATTATCAATAAAGGTTTTACTTACTTATATTAGTATAATGACAATGCTTTTATTAATGGGAATATATTATAATTTCTATTTACAATCAATTATTGATGGAATATCATTATTTATTGAAACTAATGCTTTTACTTAAAATTTGATTCCATATTGGGCAATTGTTGCAATAAAAGATGCTTATTGTTTTTAATAATAATATTAAAATGAGATTAATTTTAGTTAATATCTTGAACTAATTAATCAATTTTAATCAATGTAAATTAGCAAATTAGTTTATAATAACAATTTATAATCTGTACAATCTTTATTTTATGGAGATCAATGTTAAAATGAATATTTAAGTATATTTCAATTTAAACATAGATTTATCATCATTTGAAAAGTAATAATGTCAATATTAATTAAATGGAGCATTAACAAAAGGATTAATTTTTTATTATGACTATTTAAATTAGATATCGATATCTTTAACTAATTCTAGTGATACTCGATTTGAAAAGGTATCATTAGAAAGATTAATGGAGTTTAGCGAAGTAAATAATTATATTTAAAGAAATAGATGTAAGGTTTAGTATTTTCTTTACAAAAATAAGCAGTATTTGAATTTAATAAAGAAATCAATTCTAAATTAAGTGATTACATTTCTGTAGAGAAAGCATTAGTGTAAAATATTAAATATAATTAATCAATAGAACAGTCTTTATTTTTTTAACATGTTTACTTTACTATTTAATAATTGAAGGTTATTTTCATAATTTGATGGATTCTTAATATAGAAAATTTAGATAGTTTTATTATTACAACTATCCAAATAGTATTTTACATTAGAATAAGACTTTGAGAGCTAGATTTAAAAAGTATGGTATTTTAAAGAAATGAGATTGGATTTTTTATGTGATTATTTTATTTTGTACAAATATGTTTGAATAATGCTTTCTCTATCATAAAATGAAATAAATAATAGAGCTAAAGTTATTCAATTGTTTTCTATATTAATTATTAGTTTTCTTAAAAGTAATCCTCTTCTTTAAGAAGGAATTAATAATTAATATAATTTATATATACAATTCAAATATCAATAAAATATGAGAATAAAGCCACGATCATTTTTCTTCTGAGATAGAACATTTTTCTTCAGTTATCATGCTATATTCATTCAGTTTGCGTATTTCTTCTGGTAAAGGATTATTAGGATCTATAAAATCTAACTTATTTGAGGATTCATAATGGTATAAGGTAATACATAGAAACAATGAAAATAGACCTTAAATTATAGTAAATGTATACCTAAAATGGAATAGAAAAGGGACATATTTTTATATCCAGTTTGAAGGTCATCTGCAGATTCAACAATTTTACTAGCAATAATAGGGAAAAAACATAAAGCAATAGATTCAAACATACCAAGAATTCCAAAAGCAGTTCCCATATATTTTTAGTCTACAATATATTATACACAAGGTATCATAACACAAGAATAACATGTAAATGCTAAACCCTAAATAATTAATGGTATAGCAGCTATCCATTTTTCATTGCTAGCAACATGAACAGATCCAAATAATATTTAAGCTATTATAAATAGGAAGGAAGTAATCATTAAGAAAAATCTACGATGACCTACTTTATCAATGTAATATCCAATAAATGGACATAGTAGAGCACTAAATATATATGGAATTGTAATAAATTTTCCAGCTTCAACAGGTTTAAATTAGAATTTCTTCTAATAATAATCACTGACATCATCCATAAAAGAAATGTATATTCCAAGACATAATGAACAAATAGCAGTTAGATACCAATATAATGCTGGAAATTCTCTAATTTCTTATAATCTAGCTCTTTCTGTATGTAAAGTATTTTATGTGATTTATTAACTATCATTTAAAGTGTCATGTGATTCATCATTACTAGAAATATTAGATTTCTCTAATTTTTCTTATTATAAAATCTATTCTCTTGTTTTATCAAAGAATAATAGTAAAATTGCACATAATAGTGAAAAAATACAAACAAATACACTTGTGAATAAAGGATATGTAATGCTTCCTGTATAATCATAAATCATAGGTGAAAAGTAAGAATTTAATGCTGCTGCTATTTCTGGCAATGTAACTATACAACCACTTGCCTATTATATTTATATATATATATACTGTTGATAATTAATGACCTTTAAACCAAGCTGTGATGATTACATTTTATGAAATAATCAAATTTTCACTTGCTATGCCTAAAAATACTCTTCCAAATAACATCAAGTGAAAACTTTAATATTTTCCTCCAAATGCTATTATAGTTTAAGAAACGGTAACTAATGATGCAAATATTAATATGCTCTTTCGACTACCTACATATAATTATATTTAATACCAATTCTATCTATAAAATATCCTCCAATTAATGTAAGTAAGATATTTGGAAAGCTGAAAAAAGAGTAAAGGTAATTGAACTCTGTTAATGATATGTGCACTTCTTCCATTATTTAAGATTATAATGCTTGTGGATTGTCAAAAGAATAATTGTTTCCAAACAATAAAAGGGCTGATAAGATTAATATAATTAATCTTGTTGTTTTTATCTTCTATTTATCCTACTTTTAATCTTAATCACCCATTTGTCAATTTATTAGAAAATGAATAATATTAAATTTATAATTCATTATCATCAAATGATTTTTATTATTAAAACAACCCTCCATCACACACATCATTTAATTATATAATTATTATATTAATAATTTAGATATCAAAATAAAATATACTCAAATTCACTCTGGATAATAAATACGGATTATAATTTCTAAAATATATGTAATTTTTAACTATTTTTATACTTCATTTTTATGTTTAAGAAAAACAACAAAGAAAATCTAAAACCAATTACTTTGAACATTCCTAAAATGATTTTAAAGAATTAAATTAACTAAAACAGCATTTAATAAAATGCATATTTAATTGAAACATCAAGGTCTCCTAGAATTAGTTGTATTTAACTTATTAAATATTTAGAATTATATTAAAAAATTTAGTAGTCTATTGATTAAAAACCAGCTGATGAATCACAAGATGTTGTTTCATTTCACTAATAAAAAATTAGAGAAAAAATTAGAGGATACAATTAAACTCCTACTATTACAACATCTTAAGATATTGAGGATTCTTTTAATATTTGGAATGATGAATAGTAACTTGATGGAAATATAATTNTTATGTGATTTATTAACTATCATTTAAAGTGTCATGTGATTCATCATTACTAGAAATATTAGATTTCTCTAATTTTTCTTATTATAAAATCTATTCTCTTGTTTTATCAAAGAATAATAGTAAAATTGCACATAATAGTGAAAAAATACAAACAAATACACTTGTGAATAAAGGATATGTAATGCTTCCTGTATAATCATAAATCATAGGTGAAAAGTAAGAATTTAATGCTGCTGCTATTTCTGGCAATGTAACTATACAACCACTTGCCTATTATATTTATATATATATATACTGTTGATAATTAATGACCTTTAAACCAAGCTGTGATGATTACATTTTATGAAATAATCAAATTTTCACTTGCTATGCCTAAAAATACTCTTCCAAATAACATCAAGTGAAAACTTTAATATTTTCCTCCAAATGCTATTATAGTTTAAGAAACGGTAACTAATGATGCAAATATTAATATGCTCTTTCGACTACCTACATATAATTATATTTAATACCAATTCTATCTATAAAATATCCTCCAATTAATGTAAGTAAGATATTTGGAAAGCTGAAAAAAGAGTAAAGGTAATTGAACTCTGTTAATGATATGTGCACTTCTTCCATTATTTAAGATTATAATGCTTGTGGATTGTCAAAAGAATAATTGTTTCCAAACAATAAAAGGGCTGATAAGATTAATATAATTAATCTTGTTGTTTTTATCTTCTATTTATCCTACTTTTAATCTTAATCACCCATTTGTCAATTTATTAGAAAATGAATAATATTAAATTTATAATTCATTATCATCAAATGATTTTTATTATTAAAACAACCCTCCATCACACACATCATTTAATTATATAATTATTATATTAATAATTTAGATATCAAAATAAAATATACTCAAATTCACTCTGGATAATAAATACGGATTATAATTTCTAAAATATATGTAATTTTTAACTATTTTTATACTTCATTTTTATGTTTAAGAAAAACAACAAAGAAAATCTAAAACCAATTACTTTGAACATTCCTAAAATGATTTTAAAGAATTAAATTAACTAAAACAGCATTTAATAAAATGCATATTTAATTGAAACATCAAGGTCTCCTAGAATTAGTTGTATTTAACTTATTAAATATTTAGAATTATATTAAAAAATTTAGTAGTCTATTGATTAAAAACCAGCTGATGAATCACAAGATGTTGTTTCATTTCACTAATAAAAAATTAGAGAAAAAATTAGAGGATACAATTAAACTCCTACTATTACAACATCTTAAGATATTGAGGATTCTTTTAATATTTGGAATGATGAATAGTAACTTGATGGAAATATAATTGAGAACTATACTTAAAGATATAAATCATATGATAATTTCATTTAAAATAATGTTTCTTAAAATGAAATAGCAGAAAATATATTAAAATTATTAGGAATGAAACATAAAGTAAAAAATTTAGGAAAGATTCCATTCTTAAATGATGAACCAAAAAAAACAACTAATTATTTTGTTCCTCCATAAAAAGCTTGGAGATTGTACAAAAAAAGACCTTTAAACTTTACTAGTACTTTATATACTTCAAATTAAACTACTTAATTAATCAATTCCAAGTCTAGATTAAACTCTTTAGAAATTTAGAATTAAAATCAATCTAATTTAAGATAATTAAGTTCCCCTGATATATTGAAGATTAAATTTAAGCAATTAAAGATGAAATGAAATTAACTATATATATTTAGTATCACCATTACTAAGCCATTCTACGTTAAGTTCTTCTTATTTTAATTGCCATAGTCTTTACATAGTAAAAGAAAGTATATTTATTTAAGTAATCTAATTCTCTTTTTCTTCTTTTAGATTATCTTTTTGGATTCTTTTCAATCTAAATGATAATTGCTGTAATATTATTTTATGGCATATAATCTTTATAATTCATCATCTAATCAAGATGTATACTAGTTTGATGAAATGATGCTAATAGTAGATCAGATTAAAGTTTGTTATATGATGAAGAATTAAAAGAATTATTTAATAATTAGTTTTAAGATTTGAAATCTTATTATACAACTGACATTCTTTATTTTGGCATTTAAGCTATAATAGATGGTTTAAATTATGTTTAATGTCTTCTCTATTATACCTAATTAGATGAAACAAAAGTTGTAGGTGGTACATAATCTTAATCAGCTATGACAATCTTAGATTTTGGTTCTTCTAATGTATGTTTATCCTTTTCTTCAAAAGTAGTTTTATATAAATAACCAGATTAATAATCAGAAATTTAAACCTTTGATTCATTTTCATCTTGAAATGCTTTGATTGATAATTCTATATTTCTGCAAATTTTTCTACAATTAGATTTATGTAATGTTCTTCTATGGAATACTCTTAAATTTTCATTTTCCTTATATGCTGCAGCTTTAATTCTTTTTTCTAAATTTGGTTTATATTAAAATAATGGACAATCTATAATTTAATGTGTAAATAATCGACAATTCTAACAACTTGATAGGCATTTGGAATAATCAGAATTTAATAATATTTAATCTTTAATATTATGAAACCTTTAAAAATCTTTTTAATAATATTAAATGATGTATAAGAATTTCTCTCTCTATATTTTATATAGTATTGCATCACTAATACATTTAGCAGAATATTTTGGATAAAGTCCAGTAAAAAATGAGTATTCTCCAAACTTATCACCTTTATTTAATGTTGTTAATATTTTGTTAGATTTCTCTTCGAATAAAACTATCTATCCTGATTGTACAAAATATCTATATTATTTATAAAATAAAATACAAACTAGAATCATTAGATTCATTCTATTAGAATATTATATCATTAGGTCCTAAATATTAAGTTTCAAGATATCGAGAAATATCAGTAACTGCTTATGTTGAAAATAAATCTTTGAGAAAAGTTATCTAATTTAAGATTTTTAATTGAATTGATTTTGTTATTTAATTTCTTAAATCCTCTGGTAGTTTTTCCATTATATTACTAATTTCTTCCTAACTTTCTTGATTTTCATTTTAAAATAAATGATGCTTTATGAAATTTCTTGCTCTCAATTATAATTCAACTTCAACATTATTCTTATCCATATAATCATTAATTCTCAATAACATTTTTTTATATTAATACTTAGTATCTTAAATATTCTTTAAAATAATTCCAATTGAATTTAGTGAATATGCATAAACACAACTTGATAAAAACATCATTATTATTGTGAATACTATTTCTATCCAATTTTAGGGTGTTAAATCTCCATACCCTACTGTTACAATAGTTGTTGTAGCCCAATATATTGAATAGTTATATTTCATCATTATACTTTCATTTTCAATTTCATATTTTTTCAACCAAGATTTATCTAAAAGCATACCACTCTTCTCTCCTACAAAATACCATACACATGCCATTATATGTGCAAAAAAGAATATAGATATGACTAAAGAAAATAAGTCAATCAAATTTGATAAAGATCCTTTAGAATAGAGTGATTCAAGAAATTTATCAAAATTTGTAATTACTTTTTTGGTAGTTACCATTATTTATATGATTTAAAGAATCTCAAATATAAGATTCTCTTGAGATTTATTGAATATCGCTATCCAAATTATAAGACTTATTATATCTTATGCTCCTTATCCTTATAAATAATGTTTAATAATTTAGCTTCTAGTGTTAATAATTTCTCCAATAGAAATAGTGGATCTATTTAAATTCACCAATATCTCTAAAAATAAATACCAAATAATAGTGACAATCAAAATAATTGGAGATTGATATGCAAAAGCTGCTTAAAATGGACTTAACCATAAAGAAATCATGTTTATAATAATTCCAATCAAATCCCAATACATTAACAATTAACTACCAGGTTAAAATATTTTGATAAATTCAGAATTATCTACTATGTCTATTGAAATTAGAATTAAAAAGTACTTGATTATTATTTGGAAAGTGATGTGTGCTTAGATATGTACTAATCTTAGAGTTATGATTTCAACTTTTAAGGTAGAATGTAAGAGTTTCTAAAAAGATTTTATATAAATCTATTTATAATGGCTTTGCTTTTAATTTGTTTGAAAAAGTTTGTTGCTTTTTCTTATTCACTAATTTATTTTTTAATGTCCCCACTTTTTGAAAAGAGTTTTTTCTAACTTTAGTAAGTATAGTACTGCAAATGAACTATAAATTGATTGAGCTCTTGATTATCTCTCTTCACAATCTTGTTTTAATTGTTTGATTGACTCTCCTTGATCTTTTGATTCTGAATAGATGGAGCAATCTGAATTTTATTTTCTATATTATAAATATGATGGATTTCTTGTGAAAGTCGGTCCAATACTGGATCTTCGCGAGCTAATATTTCTATCACTATAATTATTCATAAATATTTATTGGATTTATTATTTTTTATTAATTTAAATAGAGAGTACTGGATAAATTTGATTTTTTCATTAAAATCATAAAAAGAAATATGAAAATTGTATTAATAATGTTTTTTTCTTATTTTGTTAATTTAATATTTGTCATACAAATTAACCATTAGTTAGAAATGATATTTAATAAATATGAAGTAATTGTATAATACAATCACAAAATTTTAAGATTATTAAATTTTTTATTATAAAATGTTAGATAGAAGAAGCTAGAGTCCAATAGCAACAAGTTAAAGAATGGGAACTGCAAGAGCTATTTTTGAAACAGTTCCAGAGCCAGAACCAACTAAGAGACTAACTAGATCAATAAGAAATACCAGTACAGAACAAAAATAAGCTGATTAAAAATAAATGTAATATTAATATGGAGGAGTACCATCTCTTGATATGAATTGTATTTATAAATATTTATCTAGCCCCTAATGTTAATTAATATCCAATATAACAACTTAATTATCAAACATCAGAGATTGACACATAGAGAACTAGCTAAGTTCATAAACCAATCGAAGTGAATGCATAATCGACTTCATAATTTAATTACTAAAGTGTCGATTATTCAAAACCATAGACTGGATCATTTATATAGACAGGTACTTGAACTAATTATGATAGCATATATCAACAAATGTATTAAATATTATTATCAATTAAGTTTAAGAACCATAAGGTAGTGTGCATAACTTTCAAAGTAAAACAACATATGAAGTTCCTAAATCTGACATGAAATTTTAGATGTATGAATTTGACAAATTTTCGAAATAAGAAAAACCTAAGGTCTATGAAAAGTTTGAACCTTATAAATTTGAACCCCTCAAATATGAATAATCAGAGAGAATAAGGGATGTTCAATCTTCATAGAGATCAATTCCAAAACCCAATTATTCAATGATGTTTCACTATTAATTTGATATATAGATAAACATCAAACAATCCATATCCTTAAGACAGAATTACTTTGGATACTTAATTCAACAGATCAAGTTTTAATGTGCCTTCTGAATAAATAAGTCTGAGTAAATAAAAAATTAATGAATCTTTTCAACAACAAGAAATTGTGATCAAAAATTAGAAACAATCTGAACAAATATTATATAAGTCCAATTATAAAGTACCCTCTGAACGTGAAGAATCAGTAAAGATGGAATACAGACCTACTACTCCTATTTAGACTTATTAGTAATAATAATAATAATAATAATAATAATAATAATAATAATAATAATAATAATATATAGCTATATAGACTGATGATTAACTCTTTCGATAAGAACCTGTTGAAATCAATTTCAAACCCAGTTATGGTTATAATATTTCACAAATAATTTAGGGGAACCTTTGAGGAAGTATGAAGATGAGTATACGATTGTAGAAAATGAGGCAAACGAACATGAATTTAATGCTGGATGTCTAATTTTTTGAAATATCGTTTAAAATAAGATTTATTTTGAAGTTTAGACATTAAATTTTATAATTATTTTGATTATACATATAGTCCTTTTTGATTCTAATTAACAAACTACTCTATTTTTGATTGATATATCATATAAGTTTAAATTAAAAGAATATAATGTAAAGATGATATAAAAAATAAATAATGTAACAAAGTATCACTTTCAATTAATTCAATACTGACGATGTTGGTCCTTGGTCTGATATCAATCAAAATTATAAAGCAATCTTAGTAGAGTTTAATTAGCAATAACCTACTCTGTATTCTAGTAAAGAAGAAAAGAACAAATTTATAACAACCAAAACTAGCTATACAAAGTTAAATAAACAAAATGTTACTACTACATGTAGTGAATTTCCAATTAGATGTATAAGAAATAGAGTCAAAAGCATTGATTAACCTTAGAGATAACTCTTAAAAGTAACACCTGTTAAATAATTTTGTGATTTCAGATTGTCAAAAGAATTATTGATCTATCGTAATACAGCTGATTTTCCTAAGCATAATTTACCCAGAAATTTCTTATCTTTTTAGAGATTCAAAAAGTCAAATGAAAGAAAAAAGACCTAAAATTTTTCAGAAATTAATCCATAATTGTTATAAATGCAAATGTAAATCAAAAAAATGGAAGAAATTGTTTAACAATAAAAAAAGTATTCCAGAGAAATAGGAGCTAAGAGATTGTCAAATCCTAAATTTTAGACCTTCCTAAGCACTCTATACTGAATTTTGTAATATGTGTTTTGAATGTTTAAATATATATAGATATTGTAATTTTGATATCAAATATATTGTTATTTTGAATAGTGAACTCTAAGCATTATATATATTTATGATAAAAACTGATTGATGTTAATTTGCATTTCCAAATCATAATATAAATAACATCCTTTACTTTTATTTTTATAATGCCCAAAATTAATGAAATATAAATAATTTAAGAATATTAACAATTTTATTGATTTTATTCTTAGAATAAATTTTTTAATCCAAAGAGTAGATCATTCTTGGTTTATATCCAAAAAAAGTTTAATGTATTAAATCAATACTTTATTATTGCAAACCAAAGTTTCAAAAGTTTATTTCAAATTAGATTAATATTTTTGAAGTATTAAATAATCTTTTATTTATTTCTCTAAGTAGATGAAATAAGGGTAATACATGATAAATTTGTGATGGATATTTATATGGAAGATATTCAGAAAATGAGATATCTGAGATACTACTTTTTTAGACAAAAAATTTTAAAGATATACTTAAAAATATTATGTAATAAAGAAGGTGATTAATTAAATTACAATCATATTTTGTATAGATATTTCTGTATAAATTATAAATTAATATTTTTATAAAATGTAATATGGTCTTTAATGCCGCAAGCATCCAGGAAATTAAGTGACTTTTGTGTGTACTAAAGTAAATTGCAATTACGGTAATCTTCTTTGTTAGTAATGTAAATGCAATTATTCAAATATAAGGCATAAATGGAAACCTATAACATAAAAATGAACACAAAAATTATTTGAATTAGCTTAATGAATTTATCTTTTAGTAGAATGGGAAAACAAAAACTGTTTTGATTCCCAATATAAATAATACACTTTAAGAATTAGATAAAAGATTGAAAGAATATAATGCTATGATTGACCAAGAAACATAAGAGATTGTTTCTGATATTGCATAATTATTTAAGATATTTTATGAGAGTTCAGATAGAGCAAAGAAATAGATTTAAGAAATAATTAGAAAAGATTTAATTGAGTAACAAGCAAGAAATATAAATTTTAAATAGCAATTATAAGAAATACAATCTAATGAATAAAAAAGGAATGACAATAACAATTATTTATTCAATACAATATTTTCTAGAGACCAAGATAAGGAATTACCTATTTCTGAATAATCTTTGATGTAGATTATCAACAAGTATAAAATATTTTAATATGAAGAAATGGAGATCTGAACTAATTACGATGTGACATTTTGAATTGCTTAAATAATGTAGTTAGTACATTATAACCTACAAGTAATAGAATTCGATACAAGTATACCTAAAACCATTAGTAATAATTCAATCTTCTCAAAAATGACTTCATATAAAGTTTGAATTGTCTCTTCTAAAAATTAACAGATCTCACGTAAGATTTTCATACAGTTGAAGATATGAAACGCAGTTTGTATTAATTTGGATCATTAGATGGTTCTCAATCACTAAAATAATCATAAGTAGTGTAAAGAACTTTGGGTTCATCTTAATTTATAAGTACTGGAAACCAAAGTCAAAGATTCTACAGATCAAATAGTTAATCATAAATTTTGAGTGTAAAGACTCTAGAATTGTTCCCTCATTTAAGTCCAACTATCTAATCAATATTAAATAAGATAGGTCATTTATCACCTCCATAGGCTGATTCTTTATTGAGTAATATAGAAACTGTGCCTCCTTGCTAATTTCCTGATGGGATTATTTATGAAGGTCAGATATAGAATAATTAGAGATTTGGTTGGGGAAGAGCAATCATAGGATAAGACTATTATGAGGGCTATTGGAGAGGTGGATTACCATTTGGTTTTGGTAGAATAATTATGGCATCAGGTGATTATTATGAGGGATTCTCTTAAAATGGTCAAGCTAATGGAAGAGGATTATTTTGTTCAGGTGGATATTCTTATGAAGGAGATTGGGAAGAGGATTTAAAGCAAGGGAAAGGGTAAGAGATATTACAAGGAAAGTATGAATATAAAGGAGATTTTAAAAATAATGTGAAGTGTGGACAAGGAAGACTGATTGATTTAGTAACAGGAAATGAGTATCAAGGAGAGTTTTAGAATAATTAATTATAAGGAGAGGCAACTATTGAGTATAAAAATGGAGACAAATATTATGGATAAGTTATTACAGTAGATGGATAGATAAAAAGGAATGGATAAGGAATCTATTTATGGGTAGACTCTAGGAAATATGAAGGACAATATGAAAATGACTTAGAACATGGAGATGGAGTATTTATGTGGTAAATGGCAGTTTGATTGTGAATTAGGCCAGATTAGTGGATTTATAAAGGATAGTGGTAATTTGGGATGTAACATGGAAAGGGAATTCAATACAATCCATAAGGAAAAGAGAGAGAGGGAATTTGGAATAATGGATAATTTAATAAGTGGATTAGTTGATAAAGGATGATGTATATTTAATAATTTATAAAATATTCAGTTTAAATTGATAATCTAAATATTTCATTTCTTTCCAAATGAGGTTTAGTTAGCCATTTCCAAAACTTATTATTTGAAGATATGGATTACTTCATCAATGATGGCATTCTCCTCTATTTTAATAAATAAAAATAATACCATTTCTTCTATTCAATTCTGTTTCATAGAGATCTCTCAACTCTTATAAACTAGCTGTAGCAGCATTAATAGCATTTTATGAATCTTTTAAGACTGAATTGGCTTTGGCTTAAACAGCAAGGGCAGCTTATTCTTACTATAAAAAAGATTATATAATATATATAATTACCACAACTAATTTATCTTGGAGTTAAGTTTTTCTTTGGATTTCATCTTATAAATGAGCCTTTTCAGCTTCAGAATCAGCTAACCAATCAGCTAATTAATAATATCCAGAAATTTCATTTTATTCTAAAGCAGACAAAGCTGTTTTTAATTGATCTTCTAAATCACTCAAAGCATTATAAACTAATTGACCAACATTTACTCCTGGTTATCTATCTCCTCCACTTGTAGTTTCATTCTCTCCTAAAGCATGTAATTCAGCATTTCCTGAAGCTTATTCAGAAGCCAATTAAGCAAATTTGCTCATAGCATCTTAATTAAATAATTGACTGTATTATTTAAGTTTATCAGCAACATTCTCAACTTTCAATTCAACCATTGAAGATGGAGCTCCTGTTAAATATCCACTAAGAATTTTGTATTTATATATTATACCTCAAATCATTTTTTAATATTCTGATGACTCCTAAAGCATCATTATGTTATTTAATGGCTCTTACAAACAATCCATTTGAGAAACATCTTAATTCTTCTAATTCTACTTCTCTTCTATCAATATCAGCTAATCTTTATGTAGCCCAAGCTATATAGTCAGTTGCTTCCTGAATTATGATATATAAAGTAAATTACTCTATATTCAACTCCAATTTATTCTCTTCTTGCTTTTGCACTTGCCCAAGCTTTTTAATTCAATTCATTGACTTTTGATAATGCTGCAATTCTAGATTATCCAATTTCTTCATCTGATATGTTTTTTTCATCTGCAAGTCCTTATGCTTCTATATTGCTTGTCTTTAAATCATTTAATAAATCATAGACTGCTTGTACAGCATCATTTGATTATGATCCTGTCTTTGAAATAAATTGTAATTTATTATTACCTACAACAAGAGTGCAAAATCAATATCGAAGGCTTGAACACTAACTAAAGCAATCAAAGCTACGGTTATGAACTTATTCATCTAAATAAAATTAATAATATATTTACACAAAAAACGGGTAAATTACTTAATTAAAAAAAATGAATATATAAATATATAAAGAATATGAAAAGATAGAAGATAGAATAAAATATATATGAAGAAACAACTATTTCATTAAGTTTCATTCTATGCTATTCTAACCATTTGCTATAAAGGATTGGTTATAAATGATTTTTTTTAAGTTTTACTTATCAATTTTTTAGAACCTGGAGAACATACACGACTTCCTCTAGTTTATTTTTGAGATCTATTTGTTTATGTCTATTTTTTCACATTGAAATATATGGAATATTTATTGGATTCACATCTACCTTTGAATTTATTATTTTTCTATTAATGTTAATATTGTAATAAAATTTGACTTAAATTATTTTAAGGTAAATAATATTTGAATTATTAACTCTTTTCCATATCACAATTAAAAAATTATAATCTATATTAATCTATTTCCTCTGTTAATTTCATAAAAT